ATTTCGACAGTCTTTCTGTGATTTCGCGTGACACAGCTCGCGTTACGAAACAGATTCTCGGTTACAGTTTTTATAAGCAAGTGACACTGTTCACCGTCCCAAATGTCTACCCTCTGTGTCGCCCGCACTAAATTCTGCGGACTGTTCGCCTGGCAGCTATGGATCGCGTAGCGCCCCTGCCAATTCATTTCGGGCGAGCGGTCCATAGCTGCCAGCGCTGATGACTGTCGTTAGGACGCTTCCTCGGCGTCGCGTCGCGTCGCTGCCGCGCGGAACTGCGCGAAAGATCTGCGCTTCAGCCGCTTGCGAGATCAAACAACTCCGTTTCGGCAACGCTTCTCTAGATCCCGTCTCATCTGGATTGGGATCTCTCATCATTTCGACATCAATACGCCATTCCAACGTTACCATGATTAGGGCAACTATGTTTCGTTGATGAGGCAAAAATCAGCGTCACTTGCGGAGCATCGCACGGCGCGGGTGCACTACCTAATTTTAGCTCTTATATAACTCTATCTACACTTTTGGCAATCAGCCATATATTTTGCGCTGACCCATTTCATGTGTCATCTCTCTCTTCTCTCCCTCTCCCTTCTCTCCAGCTCCCTCGATTCTAGTTTTCCACATCTTTACGTTACGCGTTTCGTGCGTCTCACCTTTTCATGCAGGCGTCTTGCCAACCTCCTCGTTTTCATGCAGGCCGTCATCTGTTGCTAGTTTCTCTTCTCGTAGCTCGTCGTGCTCTCTCACTCTCTCCTCTCTCTACATGCAGGGGCCGCGCATGCCTTGTCTCTCACTCTCTCCTCTGGCTTCACATGGCAGGGCCGCATCTTTGCTCTCTCACCTGCTCTCCTCTCTCTCACTATGCAGGGTGCCGCGCATCTTGTCTGCTCACTCTCTCCTCTCTCTTAACATGCAGGGGCCCGCAATCTTCTTGCTCACGCTCTCTCGCTCTTCTACATGCAGGGCGCGCACTCTTGTCTCTCACTCTTCTCCTCTCTCTGGCAGCATGCAGGCTGCCGGTCATCTTGTCTCTGCACTCTCTCCTCTCTCTAACATGCAGGGGCCGCTACATCTTGTTCTACTCTCTCCTCTCTCTCACATGCAGGTGCCGCCATCTTGTCTCTCACTCTCTCCTCTCTCTCACATGCAGGGGCCGCCATCTTGTCTCTCACTCTCTCCTCTCTTCACCCTGCAGGGGCCGCATTTGTCCTCTTCACTCTTCCTCTCTCTCCACATGCAGGGCCGCCATCTTGTCTCTCATGTTTTTTTTTTCCTTTTTTAGTTTTTGTTTTTTTTCCCCTCCTCCTCTCTCACATGCAGCGGCGCCATCTTTGTTCTCTCACATCTCTCCTCTGTCTCACATGCAGGGGCAGCCATCTATGTCTCCACTCTCTCCTCTCTCTCAGCACTGCAGGGGCCGCCATCTTGTCTTCTCCACTCTCATCGGCCTCTCTCACATGCAGGTGGCTGCCCATCTGTCTCTCACTCTCTTGCCTCTCTCTCACAATGCAAGGCGCGCCATCTGTCTGCTCACTCTCTCCTCTCTCTTCACATGCAGGGGCCGCGCATCTTGTCTCTCACTCTCTCCTCTTGCTCACATTGACAGGGGCCGCCATCTTTGTCTCTCCTCCTCTACATGCATACGCCCCTCTCTGCTCTTCCTCTCTCCTGCTCTCACTATGGCAGGGGCCGCGCATCTTGTTCTGCTCTCTTCTCTCTCTCACATGCGCGGGGCCGCGCATCTTGTCTCTGCACTCTCTCCTCCTTCTCTCACTGCAGGGGCCGCCATCTTGTCTCTACTCTTCTCTCTCTCACATGGCAGGGGCGCCTCTTGTCTCTCACTCTCTTCCTCTCTCTCACAGCAGGTGCCGGCATCTTGTCTCTCAGCTCTTCCTCTCTCTCACCTGCAGGGCCCGGGCCCATCTTTGGTTTCTCCACTCTCTCTCTCTCTCAGCATGCACGAAGGTGCTCGCCATCTTGCTCATCTCACTCTCCCTCTCTCCTCACATTTGAGGGGGCCCGCCGATCTGTCTCTCACTCGTCTCTGATCTCTCTCTAATGCAGGGCCGCCATCTTGGTCTCTGCAGCACTCTCTCCTCTCTCTCACCATGCAGGGCCGCCATTGTTGTCTCTCACTCTCGTCCTCTCTCTCACATGCAGGGCTGCCATCTGTCTCTCACTCTCTCTCTCTACAAGGCCGCCATCCTGCTCTCTCAACTCTTCTCTAATGCAGGGCCGCGCATCTTGTCTCTCACTGCTCTCTCCATGCAGGGCCCTTGCTCAATCTCTCTCCCTACATGCAGGGGCCGCCATCTTGTCCTCTCACTCTCTCTCTCTCTCTCACATGCAGGGCCGCATCTTGTTCTCTCACTCTCTCTCTGGCTCTCCACATGCAGGTGGCCCGCCATCTTGCTCTGCACTCTCTCCTCTCTCTCACATGCAGGTATGCTGCCATCTTGTCTCTCACTCTCCCTCTCTCTCATCATGGCACGGTGCGTGCCATCTTGTCTCTCACTCCTCTTTGCTCTCTCACATGCCAGGTGCTGCCATCTTGTCTCCTCACTCTGCTGCCTCTCTCTCACATGGCAGCGTGGCTGGGCATCTTGTCTCTGCAGCTCTCTGCCTCTCTCTCACATGCAGGCTGGCCATTCTTGTCTCTCACTCTCTACGCTCTCTCTCACATGCAGGGGCGCGCATCCTTGTCTCTCACTCTCTCCTCTCTCTCACATGCAGGTGCGCCATCTTTGTACTCTCACTCTGCCTCCTCTCTCTCTCACATGCAGGGCGCGCCATTCTTGTCTCTCACTCTCTCCTCTCTCTCACATGGGCAGGTGCCGGCCGCCGCATCTTGTCTCTCACTCTCTCCTCTCTCTCACATGCAGGGGCCGCCATCTTGTCTCTCACTCTCTCCTCTCTCTCACATGCAGGGGCCGCCCATTGCTTTGGTCTCTTCAAGCTCTCTGTCCTCTCTCTCACATGCAGTGGCTGCATCCTTGTCTGCTCACTCTCTGCCTCTCTCTAACATGCAGGCCGCCATCTTGTCTTCACTCTCTCCTCTCTCAACATGCAGGGGCGCTGACATCTTGTCTCCACTCTCTTGTCCTCTCTCTGCACTATGCAGGTGCCGCCATCGTTGTCTCTCAGCTCTCTCCTCTCTCTAACATGCCAGGCGGCCGCCTCTTTTCTCTCCACCTCTCCTCATCTTCACATGCAGGGGCGCCATGGCTGTCTCTCACTCTCTCCTCTCTCTCACATGCAGGGGCCGCCATCTTGTCTCTCTCTTCTCTCTCTCACATGCAGGGCCGCCGCCATCTTGTCTGCTCTCTTCTCTTCTCACATGCAGCGGCCGCCCATCTTGTCTCTCACCTCTCCTCTCTCTCTCACATCAGGGCCGCCCATCTGATCTCTCACTCTCTCCTCTCTCTCAACAACTTGCATGTGCCGCATCTTGTCTCTCACTCTCTCCTCTCTCTCACATGCAGGGGCCGCCATCTTGTCTCTCACTCTCTCCTCTCTCTCACATGCAGGTGCCGCCATCTTGTCTCTCACTCTCTCCTCTCTCTCACATGCAGGGCTGCCCATCTTGTCTCTCCACGACTCTCCTCTCTCTCACATGCAGGGGCCGCCATCTTGTCTCTCACTCTCTCCTCTCTCTCACATGCAGGGGCCGCCATCTTTGTTCTCACTCTCTCCTCTCGCTCTAACATGCAGCGGGCCCGCCATCTTGTCTCTCAGTCTCTCCTCCTCTCTCACATGCAGGGGCCGCATCTTGTCTCTCACTCTCTCCTCTCTCTCACATGCAGGTGCCGCCTCTTGTCTCTCACTCTCTCCTCTCTCTAACATGGCAGGTGCCGCCATATCTTGTCTCTCACTCTTTCCTCTCTCACACATGCAGGGGCGACCATCTTGTCTCTCACTCTCTCCTCTCTCACACATGCAGGTTGCCGCCGCATCTTGTCTCTCGACTCTCTCCTCTCTCTCTGCTCACATGGCAGGGCCGGCCATCTTGTTCTCTCACTCTCTACCCTCTCTCACATGCAGGTGGCGCGGCATGCTTGTCTCCACACTCTCCCTCTTCTAACCATTGACAGGTGGCCGCCATCTTGTCTCTCACTCTCTCCTTCTCTCTCACATGCAGGGGCGACCATCTTGGCTCTCACAGTTCTCCTCTCTCACACATGCAGGCGCGCGCATTCTGCTCTCTCACTCCTTTCCTCTCCTCTCACATGCAGCGTGCGCCATCTTGTCTCTCCACTCTCTCCTCTCTCTCACATGCGGAGCGACTCATCTTGCTCTCTCCTGCTCTCCTCTCTCTCACCATGCAGGGCGCGCCATTTCTTGTTCTCTCACTCTCTCTCTCGTCTGCACATGCAGGGGCCGCGCATCTTGTCTCTCACTCTCTCCTCTCTCAGCAGCATGGCAGGGGCCGCACACTTGCTCTCACACTCTCCTCTCCTCTCCACATGCAGAGGGCGCCATCTTGTGCTCTCATCTCTCCTTCCTCTCTCTCTCAAGCAGCAGGGGCCGCCATTGTCTCTCACTCTCTCCTCTCTCTCACATGGCAGGGCGCCGCCATCGTTGTCTCTCTCACTCTCTCCTCTGCTCACACGAATGTTTCGTTGTTTATTAGGTGCCGCCATCTTGTCTCTCACTCTGCTCCTCTCTCTGCGCTACATGCCAGGTGGCCGCCATCTTGTCTCTCACTGCTCTCCTCTCTCTTCATGCAGGGGCCGCCACTTGTCTTCTCACTTTCCTCTCTCACACATGCAGGGGCGACATCTTGTCTCTCACTCTCTCCCTCTCTAACCTGGCAGCGCCATTCTGTCCACTCTTCCTCTTACACTAGCAGGGGCCGCCATCTTGTCTCTCGACTCTTTGCCTCTCGTCTCACACATGCAGGTGCCGCCATCTTGTCTCTCCAACTCTTCCTCTCTCTCACATGCCAGGTGCTGCCATCTGTCTCTGCACGTCTCTCGCTGCCTCTCTCTCACATGCAGGTGCTGCCATCACGATCATCCCGGATCTCGTCAATGCGTCGCGCGCCAAGTCGCTGCTGCCACGCCACGGTGTCGCCGTCGGCAACCTGCTCTTCGAGATGCTGGAGACTCCGTCGCACGGCGACGTGACGCTGCGCGGCCACCCGCTGGCAGAGGGCGACACGTTCGCCGAGGCCGACCTCGAGAGCCACCAGGTGGCGTACCAGCACGACCACTCAGACACGACACGCGACGAGTTCAGGTGAGGGGAGAGGAAGAGGAAGGGGTGGGGGAGGGAGGGGAAGGGAGGGGAACAACAATACAACAAGAACTTTAGCTCTCGCTACGCGACCCAGCAGTCTCACTCAATCACACACTCCTCACTCACAGCCTCACTCACACCTTCTCTCGCAGATTCGCGCTCAAGTTTCATGACATATTCCCGTGCTGGACGCAATACAAATATATACAAGTAGTACACAGGTAGTTTAAGATATGTACATTCATGAGAGGTACATCTCCATCGAAACATATTACGCTTCGCTTGCAGGTTAGCCACCATCTTGAATTTTAAAATGGCCGCTTCTCTCGCAGATTCGCGCTCAAGTTCGACGACATTCCCGTGCTGGACGCGTACGCGTTGGACGCGCGCGTCGGCGTCGTCGTCGTGCCGATGAACGACCAGCCGTTCGTTCTCGTCACGCAGACGCCGTCGCTCAAGGTCGTGCAGGGCACGCGCACCGCCATCACGGCCAAGCAGCTGGAGACACGCGACCCGGACACGCCGCCCGAGGAGATACGGTAGGCGGGCGCCGGGGGGAGCGTAGCTAACTCTTACTCTTTTGTCGCTATCTCTCCTTTGTTTCTCTGTCTCTCTCTCTTTCTCACTTCCTCTCTTTCACCCGAGGAGATACAGTAGGTGACTGGCGTGTGTGTGTGAGTGTGCGTGCGTGCGTGCGTGCGTGCGTGCGTGCGTGCGTGTGTGTGTGTGTGTGTGTGTGTGTGTG